TCACTTTGCTCCTCTTGATCTCCATCTTCGGGGCTCCATGATCATCATCGTCACCGGCATGACACCATGATCTCCATCATCATGATCTCTATCATCGTGTCTTCATGAAGTTGTCTCGTCAACTATTACTTCTACTACTACAGCTAACGGTTAGCAATAAAGTAAAGTAATTACATGACGTTTATGTTGACACGCAGGTCATAAATAAATTAAGACAACTCCTATGGCTCCTGCCGGTTGTCATACTCATCGACATGCAAGTCGTGATTCCTATTACAAGAACATGATCAATCTCATACATCACATATATCATTCATCACATCCTTTTGGCCATATCACATCACATAGCATACCCTGCAAAAACAAGTTAGACGTCCTCTAATTGTTGTTTGCATGTTTTACGTGGCTGCTATGGGTTTCTAGCAAGAACGTTTCTTACCTACGCAAAAACCACAACGTGATATGCCAATTGCTATTTACCCTTCATAAGGACCCTTTTCATCGAATCCGATCCGACTAAAGTGGGAGAGACAGACACCCACTAGCCACCTTATGCAACTAGTGCATGTCAGTCGGTGGAACCAGTCTCAGGTAAGAGTATGTGTAAGGTCGGTCCGAGCCGCTTCATCCCACAATGCCACCGAATCAAGATTGGACTAGTAACGGTAAGCATATTGAACAAAATCAACGCCCACAACTACTTTGTGTTCTACTCGTGCATAGAAACTACGCATAGAGCTAGCTCATGATGCCACTGTTGGGAAACATAGCATAAATTCAAAATTTTCCTACGTGTCACCAAGATCTATCTATGGAGTCATCTAGCAACGAGGGAGGAGTGGATCTACATACCCTTGTAGATCGCGCGCGGAAGCGTTCAAGAGAACGGGGTTGATGGAGTCGTATTCGTCGTGATCCAAATCACCGATGATCCTAGCGCCGAACGGACGGCACCTCTGCGTTCAACACACGTACGGAGCAGCGACGTCTCCTCCTTCTTGATCCAGCAAGGGGGAAGGAGAGGTTGATGGAGATCCAGCAGCACGACGGCGTGGTGGTGGAAGTAGCGGGATTCCAATAGGGCTTCGCCAAGCGCTGCGGGAGGAGGGAGATGTGTCATGGGAGGGAGAGGGAGGCGCCAGGGCTTAGGTGTTGCTGCCCTCCCTTCCCACACTATATATAGGGCCAAGGGAGAGGGGTGGGGGGGCGCAGCCTTTGCCCTTCCTTCAAGGAAGGGTGCGGCCAGGGAGGAGTCCATCCTCCCCAAGGCACCTAGGAGGTGCCTTCCCCCTTTAGGGCTCTTCCTTTCCCTTATCTCTTGGCGCATGGGCCTCTTGGGGCTGGTGTCCTTGGCCCATATAGGCCAAGGCGCACACCCCTACAGCCCATGTGGCCCCCGGGGCAGGTGGACCCCCTTGGTGGACCCCGAACCCCTTTGGGCACTCCCGGTACAATACCGATAATGCGCGAAACTTTTCCGGCGACCAAAACAAGACTTCCCATATATAAATCTTTACCTCCGGACCACTCCGGAACTCCTCGTGACGTCCGGGATCTCATCCGGGACTCCGAACAACTTTCGGGTTACCGCATACTAATATCTCTATAACCCTAGCGTCACCGAACCTTAAGTGTGTAGACCCTACGGGTTCGGGAGACATGCAGACATGACCGAGATGACTCTCCGGTTAATAACCAACAGCGGGATCTAGATACCCATGTTGGCTCCCACATGTTCCACGATGATCTCATCGAATGAACCACGATGTCAAGGACTTAATCAATCCCGTATACAATTCCCTTTGTCTAGCGGTACGATACTTGCCCGAGATTCAATCGTCGGTATCCCGATACCTTGTTCAATCTCATTACCGGCAAGTCTCTTTACTCGTTTCATAACACATCATCCCGTGATCAACTCCTTGGTCACATTCTGCACATTATGATGATGTCCTACCGAGTGGGCCCAGATATACCTCTCCGTTTACACAGAGTGACAAATCCCAGTCTTGATTCGTGCCAACCCAACAGACACTTTCGGAGATACCCGTAGTGCACCTTTATAGTCACCCAGTTACGTTGTGATGTTTGGCACACCCAAAGTATTCCTACGGTATCCGGGAGTTGCACAATCTCATGGTCTAAGGAAATGATACTTGACATTAGAAAAGCTTTAGCATACGAACTACATGATCTTGTGCTAGGCTTAGGATTGGGTCTTGTCCATCACATCATTCTTCTAATGATGTGATCCCGTTATCAATGACATCCAATGTCCATGGTCAGGAAACCGTAACCATCTATTGATCAACGAGCTAGTCAACTAGAGGCTTACTAGGGACATGGTGTTGTCTATGTATCCACACATGTATCTGAGTTTCCTATCAATACAATTCTAGCATGGATAATAAACGATTATCATGAACAAGGAAATATAATAATAACCAATTTATTATTGCCTCTTGGGCATATTTTCAACATGTATGTCACCAACTTGGCCGCAATTTTGTCCTCAAGAAATTGCAAATCCACCTTCTTAAGCTGCCAGACGGACAATGGGAGACCCAAGTATCTTATGGGGAAGGACGCCCTGTTAGCTGGCAATCCTTGCAGAATGTGCTCCAGGTTTAGGTGATTGCATCGAATGGGCACAACCAAGCTCTTGTGAAAATTGGTGCATAGTCCGGTGACCTCCCCAAATCCGCGCAAAATGGCCGAGAGGTTGTCAATATCTTTTTTGATTGGAGCCATGAAAACAGCCGCATCGTCTGCATATAGTGAAGTTCGCACCATGATCCCTCTCCCACGAATTTTGTGGAGTAGTCCTTTTCGGGTTGCCAGCTCCAGTAGTTGTTGGAGTGTGTTAATTGCAATGACAAAAAGGAGCGGGGATAGGGGGTCCCCCTGCCGAAGGCCCCTACCGTGCTTGATGGGGGTGCCAGCCACCCCGTTTAACAGAATCCTAGAAGATGATGTGCAAATAAGAGCCGCAATCCAATCCCGAAACTTGGGGGGAAACCCCCTCCGCCGAAGGAGGTCGAGGATGTATTCCCATCTGACCGAGTCGAAGGCTTTGCATATATCTAGCTTGAACAGGAGAGACGGAGTCTTGCATTTGTGTAGCCTACGGGCCAAGTTCCGGACACACATGAAGTTATCGTGGATGCTTCTGCTCTTGATGAATGCACTTTGGGCGTTAGAGACCAAGCTGTTCATGCGCGGGGCGAGACGGATGGAAAGAATTTTTGCGATAATCTTGGCGACGGCATGAATGAGACTAATGGGCCTGTAGTCCGCAATCCCCTCCGCGCCCTCTTTCTTGGGCAACAACGCTATATTTGCGGAGTTGAGCCAATGGAGTCTAGATGTGTGAAGGGAGTCAAACTGGTGTATCACCCTCATCATGTCGAACTTAATGACGTCCCAACACTTCTTAAAAAAAGCTCCAGTGAAGCCGTCTGGGCCGGGCGCCTTGTCACTTGGCATGTCATTGATTGCCTCACGTACCTCCTCAACGGTGATGGGTGAGTCGAGGCCGTGCAAGTCATGTACCTCTAAGTTGAGCTCCTCCCAGTTTAGATCCTTATTGCACGTGTTTCCTTTTTTCATCACTTCAGAAAAGTGGTCCAGAATGAGCTTCTCCTTAGCGTCATGCTCGGTGATCCACCCTTGGTCATGTTTTAGCATATGAATGTGATTTTCCTCCTTCTAGCATTAATCCGGCGATGGAAGAACTTGGTGTTAGGCATCACCCTCCTTGAGGTTAGCAATTCTCGCACTTTGCTTTTTTCGAGCTCTCTCAAGCACGGCCAAGCTAATGACCCTCCTTTTAAGCCTCGCCCTAAGGTCACTCTCCTCGGGGGAGAGTTGTCGGGTCTCTTGAGCGATGTCGAGGCGTAGGATCACGAATAGTGCAGCGTGTAGGTAAACTTTTGCCTTGGAGAAAAGGCCCCTACTCCATTCGGAAAGGCGGAGAGCCACCTTCTTGAGCTTATGGAACAGGACTTGATATGGCTCAACATGCTCGAGCGGCTCAATCCAAGCCTTTTTGACCACCTCCATAAAGCCGGGCATAGCAATCCAAAATTTTTCAAACTTGAAGGTTCTAGGCCTCCGAGGCCCCTTGTCATCTGCGAGGAGAAGCAGGCAGTGATCAGATAGAGAGGATGAGAGGGTGTGAAGCAGATGAGTGCTGAAAGTGGTGTCCCACTCGGCATTGCAAAAAAACAAGTCCAGTTTGAACATAGTCGGGTTTTCCCTCTCATTGCTCCAAGTGAACCTCCTATTTTGCAGGTGTATCTCTTTAAGCTCACAACTTTGCAGTGTCGCTCGAAACCGATTAATTCTACTTCGATTGACATGCCTTTTATTTTTGTCTCTTGCACGATAAATTTGGTTGAAATCCCCAGCCGCAAGCCATGGCATGCCATTGGGCGGTTTTTGGCTGAAAAGCTCCGCGAAGAAGGCATCTTTGCGAGAAGAATCCGCGGGGCCGTACACGGTGGTGAGCTTGTATTGCACATCGGAGTCACGAATACGGACCATGGCGGACAGGCAGAAGGTGGTAGCTGTGATGTTGGACATTTCCACAAGGTGATCGTCCCAGAGCAGCAAAATGCCTCCACGAGTGCCGTCCGCCGGCCTTTGCGCAAAACTGCGGAGTCTGCTCCCTCCTAAGAAGGAAGCTGTGAAGATGTCGACATTGTGAAGCTTTGTTTCCTGAAGACACACAATATGGCAAGAAGAAGCAGCGATGGTGGCGCTGACAGTAGCTCGTCTATCCGGATAGTTGAGGCCCCGGACATTCCAACACATAACATTGATAGGTTGCACTAACATGGCAACATGGAGTGCACTTCTGAGCTTGGCCACATGCCACACACGACCCAGCTATGGTTATGCTTGTGCCATGCAACCCAACCACAATTACATGGACCAACACACATGGACCAGGATTTAGCTAACATAGAGAACATTTCAACCCAGAGACATCAACTTGCTCAGGTGGAGGCCTGCAGAGCAGCAGCGGCATCCTCCATCCTCTCCATGTCCATAGCACCCTCCCCTCCGTGCTGGATGAGGGCGTCCTCCACACCCATTGCCTGCACATCATCTAACCTGAACAAGTCTCGCATGGCAGATATCACCTCCAGCGGCAGCTGCTCCTTGAAACGCTCAGCAAATGCATCCAGGGCCTTGGCCGTGATGTCTTCTCCGTCCTTAAAGATCCCCAGACTACGAGCAACCAGGATCTCAGCCGCCTTAGCCGCTGGCGCCGGCACCACCCTTGCTCTGCCAGTAGCTTTGAGCCTTGCACTGGTCCTGTGCAGCGAGAGGCCCGCACTTGTTCGGGCAATGTTCACTCCAGCAAGAGTCTTACGACGCATAGCAGGAGGCCTGGGAGGCGTTGATGCAGGGG